ATATTGTAAGAATCATAAATAAATGAGTTCATCCCGTTTTCAATTAATTCTATGGCTTTCTAGTTCCTCTTTAATGCTATCCCGACTTAATAAAAGAAATGCAAAAAGTATACAACTGCCACCAACCACGACGCTTGTATCCAACGGATTACTGACCACCAGTACATCAACGATCGCAACCAGTGGAATTGTTACCATTATTCCAATGGCGGCAAAAATTGGCGATGTGAAAGCGATGACCAACATAAAGCCCGCGTTAAACGCAACGCCTGCTAAAGCGATTAAGGCGATATGACAAAAGGTAAGTAAATCTGGAAGTTCGAACTCTTCAACTCCAGTCCAGTGCAAGATGGGAATAGGGATCCATAAAAACAGCAATGAGAAAATACCAATCAGACCGGTTATGGTGTTTGAGAACAGAATCGAAGGTTTTGGTGGACTGATGTACTTCTTATACAAAACTTCACATAGGCCGTACAAAAGCGCGCCCATAAATGATATTAAATATCCGAAGGAAATAGCATCATAATCGTTGTGTCCAGTCATATCATCCGGATGAGAAATTATTCGATCGTCCTTGAAAAGAGCCATTATGAGTACCCCGAGGACGCTCAGGAAAACCGCAGCCACCTTTACCATCTTCACCGATTCACCCAACAAAAGAATCGAAAATACGTATGTCCAAAAGCAACTTGTATTGTAGATAGCCGTTATACTAGCCGTACTTACTAGGTTCACCGCGAAATACCAGCTGTAGCCCACTAGGCAAACACAAGATGCATAAAACGCAGAAACCTTAAGCAGATATGGGATGACGGGACTGCGTCGCAGGGAATCGATAAAGTGAAGCACATCATCGTCATCTTCAAGGTCAACGCGGACAAGATGGTACGAAGGTTTTACTTTGTTGTATAATTCATCACCGACACCAAGAAACTCCTCGACATATTCGCTGAGACACGGTCTAAATATGAACTGTAGCGGTAGAATTATCAACCAAAAACTGTGCGCCACCCACCTAACCTGCACATGTTAGTAAAAGTGTACTTCTCAATTCGGCAAGGAAAAAAAAACTACGTACCTACAATATAAAATATGGTTTGTAAAATTGATGTTTCTTTTGAACAAACTGTGCCAATTCCTGAATGAAGAGTTTTCAATTCATAAGTATAAACTCGGTGCATGTTCAAAAAGTATTTAAATCTTGTCAAACTTACGGTTTGTATTACAAAAGCAGCGATGCAAATGAAAAGCATCCCAAAGCCTACATATTTAGTTCCACGAGTGGAGGAAGCACTCTCATAATTCCTTGGGGGGGAATAAGACCCCCTGTTAAAAGAAGTTCGCAGCAGTGAAGTTTCCATGAACATAAGGTGCTGAATGCACCATTCCCTGTTGCCGAGATCAAATCAATAATTTTTCCGTCATCTAGCTACGCACGTGAAGTAGGCTTGTGAATTTCATGGTCTCCCCGGTTCCCGGTATATTACGTCAGTCCTTTCAGGCTTAGAATTAAAGTGACCACCGTACATTCTGTTGCTCTCACACGTATCGGGGTTCACCTTCTAAAATTCCTTCGCACATTTAATTAAGTCCTTAGAAAATGGATAGATTTTTACCAAAGCTAAAAGATATCAACAAGAGCATTGGTCAAGTTCGTCAGGTTGGCTTCATTATTTATTCCATTGAACTTTCTGACGAAATGTCTTTTTTTCCTAATCCTCCGTTATAACAACAGTACGCCTCGGAGAAGTTCGGCACTGCCGAAGATGTAACAGATCTTCCTCAAGAATATAAGGAACTTGAAAGAGTAGTTATCAAATGTTTATCAATATAAAAGAGGTTTTTCATCTACATGAAAAATTCTAGTTCTTTAACTTGAATTTAACTTCATAAAAAACAGCGCGTAGACGCCTTGTACACTGTTCACACGAATTTACTCCGAGTCACCCGAATTTACACAAACTCTTCCTACGACTATCCGGGACAACTACAAGAGTCAGTAGCAGAGCTCTCGCGTAATGTTAGCGATCAACTCAAGATTTTGACTCTAAGTGCTTCAGAGCGGGCCGAGCTTGAAACCCGGGAAGCAGAAACTTCGGTTCCTCCTCAACATAAGACCCTGCCTCATGCTTTGGCGCGTGCCGCAGCGCAAGGTGCGGAACTTTTGGGAACCGAAGATCCCCTTGGCGTGGCATTAATTAAATATGCTACGGTCCAAGAACGTCTTGGTGAACATAGAATTAAGATGGATAATGAAATTACTCAAAAATTTGTTCAACCCTTCAATACCACTCTGAATACCAATATTCAATTCGCCATGAAGGCCAGGAGAAACGTTCAGTCCGCTCGTCTGTCCCTTGATGCAATAAAAGCAAGGAATAAGAATACGCGACCGGAAAGAACAGAGGCAGCTAAACTTGAGGTTGAGCAGGCCGAAGATAAATTCGTCGCGGCGGTTGAAGAAGCTACCACATTGATGAAAACTGTGTTAGATACGGTATATCGTTAGCTTTTCGCATGATGATATTTCGGTCATTGTTCCAGTGAGATTCGGAGTTAACGATTTTTGTTCATTTGTGTCATCACCAAATCGCTATTACCATTTTAATTGGTATATCCTCAGCCTGAACCTCTCCGAAATCTTTCGGACTTGGTCTCCGCTCAATTGGCATTCTACAAAGAAGCATACGAAACGCTAGCTGAAGTCGCGCCCGAGATTGACGAGATGCAGGTGGCTCAAGAAGCCTTGTACAGGTAACCAAGTGGGAATTTGGATTCAAAAATTTCCAAAAACTTTCGACTAATTTGATTTTCTAATCAAATAGAAATAGTCGAAATGATTGAGCGATAGGGAGGGACTTCAGAACTACTTTTTCACCTCTCAACGTGTTAATTATTATTTTAGCAATATAGCAATCATTTCTTTTCGCTAATTCTTTTTTTTATTCCTAATATATAATGTAGTCGATCGACATTACTAATATTGCCTGTTGAAAAAAAAATTTAACATTTCTATTCATTCCCTCACATAATATTCTCGGGAGATCAACGAGATGCATCACAGCAAGTCGTACTGTTATTTTTTTATTAATAAAAGATTTTTTCTTTTTAATTATTGTAATCGTTGGGTGTTCGCGTGCGCGCATGAATGAAATGAGCATGCACTGAAGCAATTTATTGATGCAAGAAATACTTACAAAATAATCTAATCCCTGACCGATCTCCCAGAGTGATAGTCCTGTGCCGTAATCTTCAGCCAAATTGAGTCTAGACTTGATGGACTTTTACAACGGACATGGCGTTATTAGTTCTACCAAATTCACCATATACTATATGCCGGTATTGAAAGGTCGTTTTAGACATACCATTAGGGTGGGATACCAGACTTCATGAGATATCCCATTCTCTTGATATTGAAAACGGTGCTCCTCAAAGATTTTATCCCATCTCATTCTAGGTTTGTGTTGTTTTAATTTTTTGATAATCGTGCTTCCTACTATAAACTCCATCTGCCCATTAGAAAAATCTACCCCATACATATTTAAGCCTAACAATAATTTACCACGATCGATTGGCGTCGGGGTAAATGATACTATGGTATCCTCTACCCATCTTATAGGTGCGTTTGGGCCGGGTCTACGAAATTCGGATTAATATCGGGGGCGTTATCGGCGAAATGTAAATGAATTCGTTAAAAATTTACGTGTTCTGCTGTGAATAATCGTATGTCATCACCGAGAAGAAATCCACGAACTGGCTGAAATCCTCATATTGCGCTGCCGTTAGCGAATTCCTTGGCGACAATACTAGGATGAGTTCCCGTGAAAATTTGTGCAATTCATTTCCTAAATTTCTTATGAAATCTCTGAGCAACCCTGGATACCACCCCTCAAGAACCATTCCGTCAAATCCCCGATTTCTAAGGTGACGCACGCATCACGATTAATAACTCGATTTCCATCAAATTCTTTGAGATTAAGGAAAAAGGAATACCTGCATTCCGTGGATAACACGTTGACGAGGGAGTGCACCTCATCATTAATCATATATTGATAATCCATTTGGTTCCAATTATGAAGTTGAAAACGTGGCACGATTTTACCACGAGTTTTCCCGCTTACATTGACGCGAACCTCTTTAATCCAATCTTGATCCACGTCGTGACCACCGGATAATTCATATTGATTCGCCTGCCTGTACAATGAAAATAAATTTCATCTAATGGAGCGTGATCGAAGAAAACCTTGATTCATTGATACCTTCGATAAACGTTGTACCACGTGGGACTTATGCTACAACCGAATTCATTATACAATTGATGAATGCGAAAAATTCAGGAGACGCTCTATAATCGATGCCTAGCGTATACTCACTAGTCAAATTTCCCTTTGAAGATTTTTGCGATATCGTAGCCTAGAAAATTAAGAGCACGTCTGAAAGCGAAACTTTTGGACGCAATCGATGGTCATTCTCGTAAATGCACACATACCATGGTTATTCCAAGGTGTCACGTATGCTAAGGTCACACCTTCGAAACGTTTCACTCCGGCATTTCCGATGTCATATGTATCGTGTTCCTCCAGAATAGGAGAGTACTACTAGTACAACGTATTTCAGAAAATATGCGCATTTACCACATTCACTGCTAACCTGAGCTTAGATAAACGCGAATTCACTCCTACGTTGATGTCGTTATGGAGCATGTGCAGCTCCGTCGAATTTACGGTGAGAATGAGGACACAGCCAACGAGAAACCATGGAGCACTAAGAAATAACTTTGGATGGGACATGGCGTTTACGAGAATTCGGATGTACATAGTGGCCGCCTATTTTATACTTTCAGTGTAGTACAACAAAGTCGTGATAAAATTCTTGAAATTCAATAAATTACTATCTGTGAAATAAAGTTTAAGAAACACATGCAACGCATAAATGAACGCTGGAGGAGTACATGGGGGTGACAAAAGAAATGGTCAATGGGAACAATCGCTTTATTGAACTCTTGAAGACGAACAAGCTTTCACGAATCATTGAATTAAAATACAGTATATGATAGGGAGGAAAAGATCGTCAGATGTAAAAAAAAAAATTTTTTTTTTTTTTTTTTTTTAAACAGGTGAATTCATGTCGTTATTGGAAGTAAGGTTATATATACTGTATAAAAACCATTTCTATGTGTATTGCACAAAGGAAATTTACTTACGCGAATCGATTTTTGCCAATCAAACATTCAAACGCAAGAAAAGTCTACATACTATATTTTGGCGAATTTAGAGTCTAGTGTATAAAGTCTATAATAGCATAAATAGTAAAAAAATGTTCGGGGACGCTTTGACACACTTCTCACATGAATTCATTGCTCCCAGGAAAGGGGATTGTGACCATAGAGAGACTTTCTGCTATACTCGTGATGGTTAACAATCTCGCGCTTTCTTTCGACATACGCTTCTCGCGGAAGCGCAGCGTGAGCAATAGACGAAACCGTTTGCAAAGGATTTTGACGGTTTGAATTAACAGCCGGCGGTGGAGTATAATAATGATGGCTTGGTGTCAACGAACGAGCATGTCGATGACGAATTTCAGCTGGATGTGCCGTTTTCACGGGTTGCAAACTGCCCGTGGTAGAATGTCTCCTGGGCCAGGAATCAAGTGTGCCATTCCTAGATAAGGTTCTTCGTGATGTGCAAATTTCATCTTGCGATCCACGTGCAAACCATACGATAGGGTAACTATTAACGCGAATCACTGTTGTGACGGCAATAGGAGCAATTGAAAACATGCAAAATTCCTCTCTCACCTCGCAGGCCATATTCTTCAAAAACAACAAACTTATTAGGTTGCGGGATAAATTTTTCTAGCTTATAATGTTTCCTCAGGAATGATCGAAACTTTTCCGAGGGTGTATCGTAAGCCAATTTACTTGGTTCAATGTGTTCATTTTCTAGCATGAATTCGAACAATTTTTTCCCGTGTCCGGAACGTTGACAACTTTCGTGCACGTAAAAGTCTAAAACGCACAAAGGTTCAATTTCGTAATGCGTCCCTGAATTGTCCTTTTGTTTTTCACTTCCGGTTATTTGAATGTCGCACTCAAGACATTTCTAATCAATTGAGAAAGAATCCCTACCACGATGAACAATTTTTTCGTTCCAACCTTGAGGATTCCAATTATCCTTGTGTTTTGTGTATCTTTAATTATGTAAAGTCGGTGCAACGATTCTTTTAGTTTTATGGTGGTAGTGATGACTTTACCGAGACCTTGAGCCTTTATTGTTTATACAAATATAATTATTATGGATTAAGAATCTGGGAGAGCGTAATGATTACCTTTGTTGACGCTTCACCCATGGCATCAATTATGGAGGATAAGTGTTGGTATCTAATTTGACTGGATAAAAAAGTATGAGTGATATACCGTTTGTTGGAAAAATAATTATCTATCGGCGCCGGATGTACCTCGATTCTTCCCTGGTGAGAATCAAATCCTGCGAAGTGATCACCGAGATTGTGTCTGAAAGAACCTCTAGGACCTCTGGTGAAAATTCCATTCCGTTTTATTTTATTTTATTTTATTTTTTCTTTTCTTCAGGAAAGAGGAAAGTAAGTTCGGGAAACTGAGCACATTACGCACATTACATATCAACAAGTTCTATTGTTAAACGTTACACCGCAGGCCAATCCATTCACGATCTCGCGATTCTCCCCCTAAGTGCATTCTCGTGCTTTCAAAATCTTTATTGTGTTGTTATTTTCGCAGCAGTGGCTGCGGGAAGGGCTTTTGAATCGGTCTCGGGGGATCAGCTCCTAACTTATTAATTAATTTTATTAAGGGTGATCTCGATTTTTAAATCCTTCAAGCCTTAATATTATATCGTCATAAATATTCAGTGAAATACGAAATATATTTTATAACATCGTTATATGCTGTACTGTACATTATAATTGTATATAAAGAGGTTTACTAGAACTAGATTAACAATTTAACCTCGAATCTTCTAGCTTCATACGAGTAGAAGAATTGGCATACGGAATTAGATGTGTTTCTCGCGATATGAACTGTGGAATATCTACTCAACGACTTGAGTTTCGATTTTATCTATGACTTCGTTTTTTACTTCATTCAAATCCCTATCAACATCTATGATCATTATCCTCTCCTCTTGTCCTTCCTTCGGTTCTTCCAGATCTTTCAATTGCGTATCCAACATTCCGACCTTCATAAAATGACCCTTTCGTTCTGATAGCCTTCTCTCCAAGACTTCCTTACTCCCTCTCAAATAGATAAACCAAACGTTAATGTTTTTCATTTCCGCATCGTCCAAAGGAATTCGTCTCAGATGATCCCGATATTTTAATTTTAACGCCGAGCAAGTCACCAGAACCCTTGGCACCATTCTCGACGGTGAAGTCACCAATTTTACGATTTCCTCTTTGATCGATTGAAGCCATGGTTCCCTGTCCGAATCGTCGAGTGGCACTCCTGCCTCCATCTTCATTATGTTGGATAAATTATGTATGTTGTCGCCTTCGATTAATGGTATCCCGAGATCATGCGAAACCAGATTTCCTATTGAACTTTTTCCTGACCCGCTAACGCCCTTTCCAACGAAATACCAAGTTGAGATTAGAAAATCGATGAATTAATATAATAATAAATAACCAAAGGGGCACGTATTTCTACCATTACTATGAACACATGAATCGGATCACAGATAACCGTCGACATTCTTCTTATCAATTGCGAGGAACCAAGAGTCTGAGTGCAGTAGGTAGGTAATTGAGACTTTGTTTTAACGCAAATGTTTAACCTTTTGAGAATTTTTATCGTTAGTTGCATATTCAATTCCAAAAAACTTTTTATCAGAAAAAAAAAAAAAAAATGGAAAAGGGTTTAATTTAAAATGGTACAGTACATTTGGGAGTGAAAATTTAACCGGTGCATCTATAGAAAGGGATGCCTTTACTGTAATATCTATTATGTTGTTGTTTCTCCGTATTTTAAAGTGCTTTTACAGTATATAGAGAATATATTAATTCAGAGTATTAATAATATTAATAATGTACATTAAAAATTAATATAATAATTGCCATACGTATAATGAAATTTATTTCTAGATTTAAATTCTTTCATCAATTACTTTACTTAACCCTACTAGTGGAAGGATGATCCCGATAAAATACGTAAGTGGCGTAACCTACCGGTTCACACTCTTTCTACCGTTTTCACCTCCCCCCCCCCCGACTTCAATTTTTTATCAAGAAACCATGACAAACAAGCGTGACAACTTTTCAAATCCTGGCTACACAGTTGATTCGCCACCACCATACACCCCTCCTTCGAGCTCTCAAGGTGCAACCGAGAGTACGCGTTTATATCCAGTCGCTCCAAAAAACTCTTACTCGGCCACACCCAATCTCGTATATACCCCACCTTTGCAACAAGGGCAAACAAGTTACTCACCGGAGACTGTCGTTTTAACTGCCGCTCTACCACTCAATGATTTGCGTACGGAGCCGGCGGTCACTACGTGTCCGCATTGCAAACAGATCGTTTTGAGCTCCATAAAGTTTAAAGCAGGTTCTGCCACTTGGTTATCCTCCTTGGCCTTGCTACTGTTTGGAATCACCTCTTGGGGTTGTTGCTTGTTCCCTTTTTGTGTGAGTGCTCAATCTTTGAAAATAGTTTATCTTTTTTCCAGCCCATGATATGAATTGCTGAGATAACGATGTTCTATTATTACAGATAAGCGACTTGAAAGATTGCATCCATTCATGCCCGAGCTGTGGCCGGATCATGGCCAAGTACTCGCGATTGGAGGGAAGGGTGTATAAATATGTGGGGGATAATCAATTCGAATTCCAATAAAGTTATCTGAAAATGCGATTGCATAAATCATGGAGAAAGGAAGGAATAGCGAGTTGTTGTTGTAACACCAAAATTATGTCAATTGAAAGAAATAGGAGGCGGCATGTGTTTTTTTAGGATAATTTTTCTCAAAAGAATTGAGATCATTTTTTTTTTTTTTTTTCTTTAGAACATTTTGTCTTTAGCTAGCATTTCAACTTCACCTTCAGGTAGATCGCCGAACCACAACTTTCAATTCAATCTAACAATCATCTTTATCGAGATAATGAATAAATACATCTATCTTTTATTGTTATTAATCAATTTTTATTGCTAGCATCGCATTCTAAAATCGAGAATAAATTTTACATTTGCAAAACAATTTCAATCAATCAATCATTTTCCAGTCCAACCGCGCCAAATTTCATCGACGCTCTTCGACTTCGTCTCAGGGACAAATCTCTTGGCTAAAATAGAGGCTCCGGCCAGATATATGGCGAAAATGAAAAACACATATCCTCCAACCATTTTGCTAACGCTCAAAAATGCAAAGCCCACGAGAAAGTTTGCCACCCAATTCAAACTCATACCAAAGCTTGACGCTGTGGCGACAGCATAGGTATCAACAATTTCAGGGGTAATCAAAAATGGAATTGGTCCTAATCCGAAAGAGAAAGTAGCTACAAACAATATTATGGAAAATGCAGAGAGAAAACCATAGTCGTTTATGATTCCCAATCCTAAAAGAGTGCTAGCTGCGCTCATTGATACAATGGAATTTAGCAGCAAGGTTCTTCTTCCGGACTTATCCATCAAGTAAGCGGACACGAGAGTCATTATAGTGTTTACAATACTTATATATACGGTGATCAAATCACTTGATTCAGGAAGGATTTTAGATAAAATATTGGTTGAATAATACAAGACTGCGTTGATGCCGGAAAGTTGTTGCGTGAGGTGAACGAGTATAATCACCCTCAGAGCCGGACGATAATGTGGACTGGTGAGGAATTTCAAGACATCAAAATCGTCGCTGTGAGTGTGTGCACGAAAAACTACGGGAGGTGAATCCACAATAGGATCCGTTGTTATGGCGTCACCGTCTTCAACTTCACGTGATACATATTCTCCATCTTCGGCACGCACTAGTTCTTCTTCCGAAGCGATTTGTCTCCACCCACCGAGCTCATTATCAACATCAGCATTTCCTCTCAACTGTTGCAAAGCTCGTTTCGCAGAATGGAAACCGCCAGGTTTGGATGCGAGAAAACGCGGCGATTCAACGGAGAAGCTAAGGAAAACGAATTGAATGAGCGACAATGCAGCGGCCCCAAGGAGGATGAGACGCCAACCGGGAATGTTGGAAAGATAAAGGCCCATGAATTGAGAAAAAAGTATGCCCGTGACGATACCAAGTTGATTCATCACACCTGATATAAATGATATCATTTAATTTGCTGACGTGGCTTCTCTCGGTGACAACGAATTTTTTTTTTTTTTTTTTTTTTATTTTTATTTTTTTCTTGAGCATACCAAAGGTTCCGCGGTACTCGGCAGGCGATATCTCGGCGAGATACATTGGAACGACAACAGTTACCTTGATTTTGAAGTCAATTACAGGCGCATCGAAAAAATTGTAATTCAAAGAACAACTTTGAGAAGTTTAACTTACAACACCACAGCCAATTCCAACAATCACTCTTCCGAAGACCAAGGCGGAAAAGCTGCTAGCAAATCCCATTATCAAAGGTGCGATTCCCAAAAAAATGTTGTTGGCGAGTAGAGTCCAGCGTCTTCCTTTATTATCCGCGACGCGTGAGGCCAGCAGAGAACCTAAGAGGCCTCCCAAAGTAAATATGGAAGTCACCAAGCCAAACTCTGTTTCATTCATCTTTATACAGGGGGGTAGAGTGAAATCCGAATAGTCCACATTGGGAATTTTTTTGCAAGAAATCACGTCTTGAGGAGTATTTAGCTCACCAATCTATCGAAAAAGGAAATGTTTGCCTTTTGAGAAAGAGAGCTTAACGCGTTTTAGACGATTCTAAATCACGGAATTACATGATATCCGTATTGGAAAGAACCCAATACAGCGGCAAAGGAACAAAAAATGATGTAGAAAGTTAGCTCAGCCATCGCAAAGGTCAAGAATGGAGACGCTAGGCCCCTTATAATACAGTAGTATATTGTTATAAGCCACCCAATGGAAGGTTAAATTGGAACACAGTTGTGTATACTACACTAATGTTTCACTTTATGGTTACACAGCAAATGACACTTTGTCGCTTGAAACAATTTTTTTTCAGTTAGTTTAATCCGTCAACGTGTTGGGTCCTTATAAATGATGTCGGAAGCGAACGGCTCACTGTCAAAATGCAAAGTTCCCTCTACGGAAGGACGTGATCCAGCTTATTTTTCGTATTATGCCATGCTACAGCATCAGGTGGTTTTCAAGCACTCAAGAACTGTTAGTTCCAACGCGTCAAAGAAAAACTCCTGGCTACTTTGTTAAATAAGAGAGTTTTGTTTTAACAACAGCAAAATATGCTTCAAGACTCTGTACGCACTTCCACTTATCGTTCGGCTATTCTTCTCAATGGTCCGTTGTGTTTTCTCGGCAAATTGGTACTGGACGTTGGGGCCGGTAAGTGTTCCTACCGAAGGCTTCCACCTTTGACCTCAAGTATTGAACCTAAGCTTTCTTTAAAATTGACCAAAAAAAGGTTCGGGAATCTTGTCGTACTTCGCGGTTCAAGCGGGCGCGGAAAAGGTGTATGCTGTTGAGGCTTCACAAATGGCAGGGAAAATGCGGAAAATCGTCGAGGCTGCAAATATAACCGAGTCGAACGGCCCAATTAGGAATGCTTTTCTAAAGGACAAGATCGAAGTCATCCAAGGTTATTCTTAACAAAAAGAAACCGGGATTCCACAATTATCAAGGTATTCTATGTCGATTCTAACTTTGATGCATACATGTTTGGATACAGCTAAAATCGAGGATCCAGATCTTCCCATTCCCAAAGTGGATACCATCATTTCTGAACCGATTGGAGTTCTTTTGATTCACGAGAGAATGGTGCGATAGATGCATATATTATAATTCATTCTTTTTGATGTGTATGTCGATTTCCACATTTACAATGCTAATTGCTAATTGGTTCTGTAAAGCTCGAGAGTTATATTTTCGCCCGAGACAAATACCTAAAGCCCGGAGGTACGCTCTTTCCTTCGATGGGATCTATATATCTCGCCCCTTTTACGGATGCCACTTTATGGAGCGAGACAAAGGGGAAAGCTCGATTCTGGGAACAAAGCACATTTTACGGGGTAGATCTTTCGGCTTTGTACGACGATGCTAAAGATGAAATGTTTGGTAAGCCAAAGCTAGGAATAGTTGGTGTGACACAACATTTTAATGAGCATTTATTAATTCCTCAACCATTCCGGGCGATAAGGTATGCCCGTGGTCGGAAATTTTGATCCGCATACTCTGATCGCACCCGCGGATCCCTTAGGATACGTGGTCGACTTTAATAGTGTAACGTTGGAACAACTTCAAGACATGACCATACCTTTCAGTTGGCAGGCGTCCTATACTGGAATTATTCACGGAATAGCTGGCTGGTTCGACTTGCACTTCTCACCATCACAAGCGGGTCTCAATGGGAGCACGATCACAATGTCTACTAGTCCCGCGGCGGAACGTACCCATTGGCAGCAAGTCAGATTCTTGTTGAAGGAGCCTTTGGCGGTAAACGCCGGTCAATTGATTCAGGGATGGATGAGGTGCATAGTGAATGAGATGAGGTCATACACAATAGAAGTTGAAATATTGGTCGGAGAAGGTCAACTATCTGATCCATTGAGCGCATCATCCTCAATATTTAATATGGACTTTAATCGTCGGAGAGGTAAATGGAGATTGCACGAACAAACTTATAATTACAATTATTATCCACAACCGGATAATGTGTTCAGACCTGAATACAATTGCCTTTATGAGCCCGAACAGCCCTTGGATGTCACGGTAGATATGGAAAATAACTTCGTCAACGAAAACCAATTTATCCTCTGAGGTTTCCATTCTCAATCGCTGCATATAGAATTTCATAAAAATGATAATGGATGCGCTTGGAATTTCTCTTTTTTTTTTTTTTTAGTATAACATGGAATATCTTTTATTTGCTAAATTGTATGGTAGACGGTAGAAATACATGGGTGAACGAATAAACATAATAGTTCATAAGTGTGTCGGTGAATAGTGACTGAAGATCCGTTCTCTCTCTTTCATCTCTTCCATTCACTTTTTTAAATCCTCATCATGAGTTAATTTCGATTAAGCCCTTTTTTTTTTCTATTGTCAGCTTAATCTATTTATTTACGTATGTACACCAGTATGTGGAAGTTGGACATTGCAGTTCAATTTCTTCTTTTCAAAGCGAGGCTCAATAAAATGTAAACCTCGACAATATAGAAAAAATTTCGACAATATTACAATGAAAAGTTAATATATTCCTGTAATAATTTAAATCGTTGTGGTTGATGGTTTGAAAGGATAAAAGATCATTTTTTATTCATGCGCAGAAAAGTACATAAAATTATTTCACAAGAATATACTACTTTTTCTGCGTTGATCTGGACTCTAAGAAAGCCGTAATGAACGTAATAATTAATTGCGATCCTGATTCTATATATTATGTTTTGCCGTTCATTTTCAACGTCCTTGCGTGGTACCTAGTCTTCGTCCCAATTGGAATTCTGTTGCGGAGGTTTAGGCCCACCTGCCGGTTTGCTCATAATGATCTATAGGATTGGAAGACGTAATCAGATTAGCGTGTCTCTTGATCGGTTATTGTCCCGAACACTCAAAAGAACAAACCTGATCGACTCTTAAAACTGTTAAAGCTGCATCCGTGGCAAATTTCAAAGCCCAACTTTTTGCTGCCAGAGAATCCAAGATACCAGCCTTAACCGAATCCAGAATACAATCTTCAGTTTCACTTTCAATATCCACGCCAATCACACCACTATCATCCTGGTGATGTGCCGCATAAAGTTTCGAAAGAATATGTGTGGCGTCTAATCCTGCGTTTTCTGCCAAAGTACGTGGGAACACTTCAAGTGCCTCCGCAAATGATTTTATGGAATGCTGATTAATTCCAGGTGTGACCTAATCGTAGGCGGTGAAATGAAATAAAGAAAGGATTCTTATTGCCATCCGTCCTAAATGGAGCGCGAATGAATAATGAATGAATGAATGAATGCACAAGATACCTCTCCAAAAGATAGTAACCGCTTGGTCAATTCCATCTCGGTTGCACCAGCTCCCGGAACCAGTCGTCCATCTCTGGTGACCGCTTTTACGATGTTTACGCCATCATCGATAGCACGTTCAATGTCATCAAGAAGATTTTGAGTTGCACCTCGGATTACGATGGTCGATGTTTTGGAATTTTCATTCTCTATCGTAACGTTGCGATGCAATAGGAAATGTTCAGTAACATATAAATGATACCAATGAGAATTTTTCCTGAAAGTTTCATGAATCGCCTTCGAATCCTGATAAAAATGGAAATAGAAAACCACCTTGCCTAAAGACCGTGACCCTGTCTCCGCCGATTTCGACGGTTTCAACGATATCACAATAGCCCATTTCCTCAGGTGTCGGAGGTCCTAACCTAGCTAAAGGCGTAGCGCCGATCACACGACACAGTCTACGTAAATCGAATTTCGATAATACCTTTATAGCCATTATGTTGAATCTATTTAAATAGTGTAAAGCCAAATCTCCTATACCAGAACCAGTTACGACTACGTTAATTCCCGCATCGGCCAACTCTTTGAATATCTAACGATACGTACGATCCTGGTTAGTGACACAATCGATTGATCTTATTAAATTTACCGTGCGTGCCCAATACCTTTTCCATATGTTGCTCTTCCCCCTTTGTGAAATTCATCATTTCCTGAGCATTATGAATTAACACGGTTCCCTTGGTCTCAGTTTGTGCGGTGTCCAGGGAACACGTGAAAACACCAATCTTTGCCTTAAGCGCTTTGGTAACAACGCCCTCAGGCTCGCGACCAAAAACCATACCTTTAACCACCTTGCTTTCGTGAATACTGCTGCCCATAATTTTTACCACTCGAATATTGTCCACATTGAAAGTCGCCGGATTCTTTGGCATGACAATAAGCGCTGCTTCGATAACCAAATTCGAAAGCAATTCTTCATTACCATATTGCTTAGCGGCAATAACCGGTCTGACCGCTCTAAAAAGACTATCCTTGGACTTTAAATCAGTTACTGTTTCCACGCCGAAACCTACGAATAATGTGATTGGGTTGAATTAATTAATAACCTATTATCTTGCAAATATTATAAACATTTCAAACAAGAAATTCGAGGTACCTTCTAAAATTTCCAATGCTTTGTTACTGGCGAGTTCGTAGCCTTGCACGATTTCACTTGGGTGAAGCCCCATCCGCAGTAAATATTCTGCTTTCTGCAACAGTCCACCCGCGAGTATTATAACAAAGTTGGTCGCGTCACCAATCTAGATGGTTTGGGAGTACTATATCATTCAGTCCATCCGATCTAACATTGGGTGACGCACGACTTCACAAGACTTTTGTTTTTTTTTCTTTTAATGACTTTTAGGTGATAATAATACGTGTGTTTTTTGATTTTTCCGACTTTACCTCTTGTTCTTGCTGTTGACTTGCCATCACCACTAATTTTGCTGCGGGATGTATAACTTCCAACTCACGAATAATCGTAGCGGCGTCATTGGTGACAAAAAGTTTTTCGAGATGATTGATCACCATCTTGTTCCGTCCTATTTGGTCCATCGTTAAAATCGAGCGTCCGAAAAGTTGATCGGATTTTTCTGTTAAATTTTACGCACCGTTTGGTCCAAAAGAAGTTCTGACGATTTCTGAAAGTTCATGGATCGCTTGGATATTCCTTATAACTGCTTCTTCGACACCCTGAAGGTTCTATTGGTTTAATGACAAACGACGTCATGGTATTAAATAATTGTCGCGATAATCTTTTATGAAAATTTATGTTAAACATCATGCTAACAGATTATGCGCTCGTAACCTCAACTACGGGGCACAAACCTTATAACCCTCTTTAAAGAGCTGAGGGTAAGCACTCTTTGGAACTCGTAATGCCATTTTCGAAAACCGTATGCAAGCGAGGTTCGGAGGGGCTAAAAAAAACACGCTTTATAATTATTTCTTTGATCACGTGAAATGATTTGCGAGCGCATAAAATTTTGTCGGATCATCGATCTCAAAATGTTCAAACTTGGAACCATGGCTCAAAAGCCGCTCGGGAAAAAATCGAATTCATCACCCAACAAGAGCACACGAAAATCAAATGGCTCTCTTGGACCGAAGAAAGGAGGCGAGTTTTCTCTTGCATTCGCAATTCAATTCAATCACCAAGATAAACTATAGTATTATCTAATTTCGGTATGTTAAACACCTCTATACAATTCGTAGCAAAGACGATAGCACCCAAGCGGCAATCCGTCATAAAACAAAAACTCTTGCAGAAAGTTTGTGTGCTCCCTTTTTTAAACTGCTTTGCGAGGATTTATTTAAATGTGGTTGATGTTATAATTCATTGAATAACAGAAACTAGCGTCAAGCATGAATCAAAGTATCGAACGTGCGATAGCATCAAAAGCCAAAGCTCTTGGTGGTGGACAAAAATTTAGCTTAGTTAAGCCCGAAGAAGGTCCCACGAAAAATGAGAAAAAAAAGAAAGTAAAGTAATGCAATTCAAGTGAATCAATGGAACAGGAACTAATAATATTTTTGTAAAAATTTATAAATTTTAAAATACTGTAATGTCTATTAATTAAACTCAATTTAGTACATGTTTACAATTAAAATTTTAATATAACTTATAAATGATATTTTTTTGTTTTACATTTACATTTTAACTGTTATTCTTTTTAGAAGATAACAAAAATAAATTTATTTCTTGAAAAGAATTCTTCTTACCTTGGAACAATTTACTGCGCCATTTAGCCCTAAAACCCCCCCAATAAAGATCACGACTTGCTTCATAAAATTCAAGAATTTCACACCTAAATGACGACGAGTTCTCCGAGGGAAAATAAAGTAGAAGACTCTTTGGACATGGAATTCGATGAAGAATATGTCCCTTATGTTCCGATTAAAAGAAGGCGAGAAGAGAAATTTCAAAAGTTGCTGAGTCAAAGGCGTTTTCCTAATCAACAGAATGCTGGAGAGATTGACGAAGAAGTTGAAGACTCTCATAAGGCTGGACCAAAGGCGAACGCGAGTCTGATCGATCAGGCAGTGGAGGTGAAGAAGCAAAAAATGTTGGAGGGTACGACGTCGCATAATTTGATTTATTCTTTAGGGCGCGTCGTTAAAAGTCTTTTGATTCAAATTTTAGATTCAGCGAAAACGGACGCTGAAAAGAAACTTGAAGAAGAAAAAGCGATAATGCAGGCAGTTTCTCAACGGAAACTTCTGGCATCAGATCGCGAACTTGCAAAGGGCATTATTTACACGGACTCCATGACAACAACGTTTGTATATTAGTGCAATACAAGTAGATGGCAATTTTTTCCTTGTAAGCGAGATAAACGAGTTCTTTTTACGTTATCAGATGGCGACCGCCTCGATATATACAGGAGCAATCACCAAAAGAACATGACGCTATGCGACATAGATATCATATCCTCGTGGAAGGTGAAGATATACCACCACCGATTAAACATTTCAGGGTAATGAGCACATCCCATGGTTACTTTTAGATGTAAACACAAGATTACTAATCTTACAATAGGACATGAAATTTCCACCTGCAGTATTAAATTATTTGAAATCCAAAGGTATCCGTCGTCCAACACCAATTCAAGTTCAAGGCCTTCCGGTTGTGTAAGAAGAATTACGCATTAAATTCAGGAATGACATTGAAAGTTTTTACCAACGTGGTAAGAGATTAACTATGAAGCCGTGAATTTTTTTATAGACTGGCTGGACGGGACATGATCGGAATTGCATTTACAGGATCAGGAAAAACCTTGGCATTTTCTTTGCCATTGGTCATGTTTGCATTAGAGGAAGAGTGTAAACTTCCGTTGATCAGAGGTGAAGGCCCTATAGGAATGATCGTGTGCCCGTCAGTAAGTTTCCTATAATTTCTTTATTGCAAAATGCAGAGAATCTTCGATCCAAATTTAATTATAATTTGATAGCGTGAACTGGCACGACAAACGCTCGAGAGTATAAGCACAATGACAGAATACTTAATGAGGGATGGCTTCCCCAAGTTAAGATGTCTTTTGTGCATTGGCGGTATATCTATGTCCGATCAATGGCACACAATATCAGAGGGTATCCACATTGTGGTCGCCACACCAGGAAGGTTAATCGACATGTTGGAAAAAAAAAAATTCAACTTGGATATGTGCAAGTAAGTTTTTCTCTATTCTCCATGGTTGCAACTTATACATTTGGAGCCCGTCACATTGAACTTTCTTAGGTTTTTATGCTTGGACGAGGCCGATCGTATGATCGACATGGGGTTCGAAGACGATGTTCGAACAATTATGTCATATTTTACAGTGAGTCTGCCTGTCTTCATTTGTCCTTGTTCTTTAAACCTCTTGAGATTCGAATTCTAAATTATATTTGCGCTCCTTTAGAAACAGAGGCAGACTTTATTGTATTCGGCTACTATGCCCAAAAAAATTCAGGATTTTGCAAGATCCGCCTTGGTCAGACCTGTGATTGTTAACGTCGGTCGAGCAGGTGCTGCCAACTTAGACGTCATTCAGGAAGTGGAATATGTAAAACAGGAAACAAAGATCATGTATTTACTGGAATGTTTGCAAAAAACTCCTCCTCCGGTTGGTATTCGTCATTAGTCTTTCGAAATGCTTTGAAGCTTATTTATAAATTACTTTATAACTTATAGGTACTCATCTTTGCTGAAAATAAAAATGATGTTGATGATATTCACGAATATCTTCTCGTCAAAGGTGTTGAAGCTGTGGCGATTCATGGAGGAAAAAGTTTGTCCTATATCACTTTAACTCACATGTTATATGCTGTGCATATTCATCGGTTCACACTGTATCGCATAATTATTCGAAAGGTCAAGAGGAACGTGAATTCGCTATTCGTTCGTTCAAAGAATACAAAAAAGATGTTTTGGTTGCCTCTGATGTAGCCTCAAAAGGGTTGGATTTCCCCGACATTCAACATGTTATTAATTATGATATGCCCAAGGAAATCGAAAATTATGGTATTTGAGTCTATAATTACGTTTTATTTTAATAATTTCGTTTTTATTCACTCTAATTCATTTGTGCATAGTTCACCGAATCGGGCGTACGGGCCGTTCCGGAAGGACGGGTGTGGCTACCACATTTATCAACATGAATTGCTCCGAACAAATTCTACTCGATTTGAAACATTTACTTAAAGAAGCCAAACAACGTGTTCCACCCGTTCTTGAAGCTTTGGAAGATCCACTCAAAGATTTAACCGGAGGTACGAATAATGTGAAAACTTTTGGTGTAACAAATGACAAACATACTAACATAACGAATCTTAATCCTAAAGGATGTACATTTTGTGGTGGTCTTGGTCATCGAATTTCCGTGTGCCCGAAATTAGATGCGCAAAGGCGACAACAAATTGGAAGCATCAGTCGTGGTGGTGCGGGGGAGAGAGGTGGAGGCGAATATTAATTCATATAAACGCGTGATTTTTCGAGGTTATCAATGTCAATAGAGTAAATTGAGGACGTTCGTCATATCGTGACTATTTAGTAAAGTGCAGATCCTTCATGGTACTAATTAGAAGTCAATTCATCCTTAAATAGCAAACTCTTGTCTTCTCTATTCTCTTTCCATACACTTCCATCACTGTATATCTCTTTTTTCCAAATTGGCGCCTTTTCTTTTAATTGATCGATTATCCATTCAATAGCATGAAGTGATTCTCTCCGATGAACACTGGATACAGCAATTATGACACTAGTATCTCCAACAGGGACGGTTCCCAGACGATGATAGACTGCAACTTTTTTCAATTCCCATTTGGTCCTTGCTTCAAAAATTATTGACAGCAAAACCTTCTCCGCCATTGGAACGTAGGCCTCGTAATCTAGTTTAATGACTGTTTTGTCTGTGTACAAGAAAAATGGTGCGACAATAAGAAAAAAGAATTATTCAATGCTAACAATAATAGTTTTAAAAAAATAATGCCTCTGAAAGTGTCACGCGTGGTTCCGCTAAATATCGAAACTGCACCAGCACTATTGTCTTTGACCAGATCAACAATTGATTGTAGATCAAGATCCTCAAAAGTTAATTTCACAAAGTCTGCCATCTTAATAGAGAGTTTTCTTTTACTGCAACATTGTGCGATAATCAACCGATAAAAAAATAAATAGCCAATCACAATTTAGAAATGTAAACTACATCCAAACTTATGTCTAAGTCGATAATTGTGACTGGTGCTTCTCGCGGCATAGGAAGAGCCGTCACCCTGCAACTATTAAAAAATTTCAATAGTAATGTGGTGGCGATAGCCCGCTCAGAGAAAGATCTCAGCAGCCTGAAAGTTCACGTCGAGGAAGATCTAGGGTTAAAAGGAAGATTGGAAATTGTGATCGGCGACGTCGCGGACGAAAATGTAGCCGAACAGGCGGTGCAAAAGTCTTTGAATGCCTGGGGAAAGTTGGACGGAGTCGTCGCAAACGCTGGGTATACCTCATGAAACGCATCTATTGTGTAAAAGGATTGACACAAGAATTCATAGTCCTTTCTTTATTTGCGCGAGAATTAGTATTTTGCAACCAATGGGTAAAATCGCCGATGCTACTATGGAAGATTGGAAAAGGTAATTGGATAGTTATAGAATATCTAGATTTCTTAACTCCTTCGCTCATTTGGCTTTTTAAACCGATAGAGGATTCGACGTAAACTTTTTTTCTGTGATCTCACTTTTTCAGAAGGCAGTTCCACACCTACGCACCTCTAAAGGTTGTATTGTTACCGTGTCCTCGGGAGCAGCCATGAATCCATCTTGCGGTTGGGGATTTTATTGCACGTAATGTATCAAACACTAAAACAATATAATATTAAACTACTTGTCTAAAAATAATAACATAATTTTGATTCTAAAAAAAAAAAAAAAAATAGATCTAAAGCAGCGCTGATGATGTTGACAAATTGTATTGCCCTCGAGGAACCAGATATAATTGCATTATCAATTCGTCCTGGTGTAGTCGACACGGAAATGCAAAAATATGTTAGAGATCATGGTATGCAATCTCATCTACTCTTCTGAAACTCTACTTATTTACCATATAATTTTGATGGAACGCAAATAATTTTCCTCCGGCAATCTCGGAAACAAAGGATTACAAGTAATGACTCAAGATCATCATAAAAAATTTGTTGAATTACACGAAAAGAAAAATTTGCTTGATCCCGAGTTACCAGGTTCCGTGATAGCAGCATTAGTCAGTGGTAAGGCTACCAGGGAAATGAGTGGCCAATTTTGTAATTGGAACGACGAAAGGTTTCTCGATTTTCAAATGAAACCTTAATTACATTCAAGAGGGGATTGATTATTTACATGGCATGTGAACATCAAGTTTTCTATAAATAAAATTGTCCAATTGATTAGCTTGAATATTGATATTTTCATGATGTTTATAATCCAAAATGATACATTGGTTGTAATGAGCTAGTTAAATTATTGGTGTGTTTTTCTGTTTCTCTGTTTCTTCGATTTCTCTTTCTACTTTTCAGATTAAAGATTCTATTTTTGTTTACTCCTCTTTGCACGTGATTTAGATGCGCGCGATCTTGACCGGGAGGTCGATGATGAAGAGGAGGAGGAGGATGAATCTGAAGATGAATCACTCGAGTCCGAAGAACTATCGTCACTACTGCTTTCTAAAGCATGCTTTTGGGCCAAAAGCAACTTGGGAACATTCTAAATTAAAGAGATCGTTTATTGATTATTCTAATTGTTTATAAAACGATACACTCGTCACATACCTGCAAATGTTCCCTCAGTTCATCGGTTAAAATACCCAAACCGATACTCGTGAAATAGTTTATTGCGAATCGAGTGTTCCGCGGGTTATCCTTCGGGAAAAGACCTGAATAATATTCCTTCATAGTTTCGTCCTTCAACCTTTCCTTAAGCTTAACCATACCCAATGTACCACAAAGTTCTTCAAATAATATTTTAACAAAAATTCTGGAACTTGATGTGGTGTCATCCTCGGTGAGTTTGATAACACTAAAAACTTGCCAGGATAGAGCGTCCGAAGCTAACAGGTGTCCGAAGTACTTTGATACGTTTCGTAATCGATTCGTTTCATATCGATGGATGGTCTCATAATACTGAACGAAGCACTGTTCAAAAGCCTTAGCCCATACTAAATTAATTTTAGCAAGACGCTCTCCAATTAAACCGAAAAACTTTTCATATGTACGCTCTTGCGAACAACATTCAATTATCATATTGCAAAGTTCAATCTAAGCAAATATTATGTTTTTTAATAATAATATCTTAAATTAAAAAAACAACAAAAGTTGATTGTCGTGCATACCTCCTGCCCTTCTTGGATACTAAGTTTCATAAGTTTATGGCAACATTCTTCAAAATCGACACTAGATTTTATAGTCAAATATATAGTCCTTCTTAAGTTTATCAAGTTTGTGTTCGTTTTATCATGGATTTCTATCTTTTTTGCTATTTCTAATAATTTAAAAGACATTATTGTCAATATTAAATAAAGCTCTCCAATTCAAATTCCTAGCATTTATTTACCTTCATTATCTTCTTCTTCACTTTCCGAATTAGATTCATCATCATCATCATCATCATCCTCTTCGTCTGAATCTTCTCCTAGAATCTGCGACTTTATTTCTTTGTATTTTTCTTCATTCTGTAAGTAATCCGGATCATATTTGAATATACCTATCAAAAAAAAATTTTAAGTAAATAATCGTTTAAAAAAAAAAAAGGAATTAAAAATACATACCAAGAGTTTCTTCAACATCCAAATCGTCATCGTCCAGTGACAAATGATGTGTAATTTGATCTTCTTCCTTTACAAGATCCAAATCTGACGAAATTGGAGGATTGTCTTTGTATTTATCTTTTCTTATCTGGAATAACACCTCGATCATATATTGAACCCTCTTTTCAACGTTGGCCTCATGCAAAATTGCTCTGAATCGATCAAAAACGTCGTTATTCGCTTTTGGTGAGACTTCAGCCAAATGCGAACCAACTTCACGCATAAAACCTACAGCAACCTCAACAGAATCACTAGTGGGATTTTCAAGTAACAGCACAAGAATTTGCAACGCGACTATTTCGTGTGCCACAAGATGATTACATAAGTGCGCGATAAAAGTAGTTGTGGCAAGGCAAGTTGTCTGTTAAGTAAAACAACAAAAACAATATTATCAGTTTCATCAGACAAAAAGACAAAGGGTATAATAATCGAATAATATATTACTTTATCGTTTCGTCTGTATGCTTTACGAAATTGCACTATTAGTCTAGTTAGCACCAACTCTCCTACTTGCGGTAGTTTTGTATTTATAATCGCAATTAATGCGGCATAAACGGGTGTAAACGGCAGAGAAGCTGCTTGTGCCTTCATTATTGATCTCGCGAAAAGACCTCTTCCGCGAATCAAGTTTTCATTAATTAATTCGAAAACAATGTTTTTGATATTTGAAGTGTTGACCTATTTTAATAGATAAAATACTCAGCACTTTATTTACTAGAAAATAAACAATTGAATAACGAAACGGCACCTTGTTGATAAGCCCATTAATACTTTTTTTGAGTGCCTCCCAGGTAATCCTTTGATATTCTTCGCTCGATTTATCAGTAATTTTTTGTTGCATTAACCGCAATCTGGCTGGTGGAATATAAACTCCACCGGCCCGGGTATTGAGCAATACTTCTTGTTCGTTTTGTACGAGAGCCATTTGACTTCTACGGGATCTCTATTTGCTTGAAAATGATAATGTGCTAAATTTCTATTACTGTGATTATTTATAACCAATAACAACGTCATTGTCACGTGGTAACGCAAATATCTTCTGACAATAGTGCGAATAATAATAGCAAATCAAAAAATCGCTTTATATACTGTAACTATAATATTATAGATTTTTACAAAAATGACTAACTTATCATTGTATCTAGGTTCTCTAAATCAAGTTTAAGAAATAATATTTCACTTCCCTAGAAGATTGGTTTAATTGTTAACAGTTTGTTTCTATTGATTAATCTAAAAAATCATGAATTGTTAAATTAAAAAAAAAGAAAAAAGGAAATAATAAAAAGAAAAAAAAGACAATTCAATATTTTTTTTTTCAAAAAGTTAATAAAAATACAATAATTTTTTTTCAAAAGAAATTTATATATTGAAATAATTTTTTTATTCAATTTAAATTATAAAAGAGATTTTTTTATTACTATCTATAATATTTAAATAATCAATTTAACAAGCTTATTATTTGAACAAATATCAGATTAAAATATCAGCTTTTATTTAATAAAATCTTTTCACTATCTAAGAAACTTAGTAAAAATAAGAGTTTACAATCTATATTAATTATTTTTTATTTTTCAATATTATAAATATTTTTTTAAAAATTTTTATTTTATTTTATTTTATTTTTTAAAGTCCAATTGACAAAACAAAACTTTTATTAAAATATTCAATAATATATTTTCAAATTATATGAACAATTCATATAACCTTATTTTAACTATATATTTTTTCTAAATATACCAATTTTATTACATATGGATACCATTTTCGTCAATTATCCTGCTCTATTTAAGCCTATAGTATTTCAAGAATCCATTATTGGACTTCTTATTTTAATCTTCAAGGAACTTATGATATATATTCCTTAATAAGGTCTTTTTTGTCACTTAATAATAGTATGTATTATAAATGATTCTTACCATATTTGATTCTTAACAATAGTGTTTACAATTTTGATCTAAATTTGATTAATCCATAAATCGAATATGAATCAGATCGAATCAAATTTCAAAATTTTTAATTTGATCAGATTCAAATCGAATCAAATTTTAAATTTACAAAATTATCAAATTCAAATCAAATTCAGATCAAATCTGATCGGATTTAAATTATATTCAGATTAAACCCAATATAATTCAAATCAGATATATACCAATTCACATAAATTGTTATATAATTATTTAATTTCATTTAAATTAAACTATCTAGGAAATTAAAATCGAACTATCTAAGAAATTAAAATCAAACTAACTAGGAAATTAAAATAGTTTTTTTTTTAAAAAAAAAAATAATATAAAAGGCTAATTAAAAAAAAATTCAATATTTACTCTTCTTAATAATTTTTTAATTATTTCTTTGTGATATTATAGTTTTGCTACTTGATTTCTTTTATAATATTCTTTGCTTAATTTATTTTTTTTAAAAATGGAATATAAAAACTCTTTTGATAGCATACAATTTACGTATAATAAAAGTAGTAGTTTAACTAGCTATGACAATATCAATATTGAAAATGTTAATATAAGCAATCCATTGGAATCAGCCTCAGTTACCTTAACAATTTTTAGAAATAAAATATGGGAATACTTTGCAATGAGTGCAAGTTTTAAAGAGGACAAAAAGGCTACCTGTAAATATTGCAGAATAATATATATTTGTAGTGGAGGTAGTACTTCTAATCTAATAAAACATCTTGAAAAAACCCATTTGACAAAATTAAATATAATAACTGGCAACACTAAAATTGCCAATTTTTTTAAAACAAAGATAATTTCAAATAATTTTTAAATTTTTAAAAAAAATATTATTAATTTTTTATATTTATATATAGTGGATATACGACTTAACAAAAATAAAAAAAAAACTTGTTCAATAGATCATTATCAACCAGCAACCTTTTACAGTTGTTCAAGAACTAGCTTTTCTTGCTTTTATACAAATATTAGTACCAGATACAAAAATATCATTGATTACTTCTATTAAGACTTGTATAATAGACTTTTATTTAAATAATCAAGAAAAAATTCAAAAGATATTGCAAGAAATAGAAAGGTATATTTCATTTACACTTGATATTTGGATATCAATTTCAATGAAAGCATTTTTAG